CTGGACCCCTGTGGGCCGAGATACAGCAATCAAGTTAATTATTTTTCACCAAACCATAATTAAAAAGGCCAATGAATTTCGGGGGCTCAAAACTCCTCCTGTGTGCTAGCAGTGGACTTGTACTGGACAACAGTTGTAAAATAATACGGATTTTGCTATGGGGGTCTCCAGTCCTAGTGGCTGTTAGTATGGTTACCCAGATCTTATATTTCCTGTACTGTTTTTATATTTGTTTTCCAGTACAAATGTAAACTTGCGTCCAGTACTTAAGCTGTGATGAAGGGTGAGCCCCTGAAATGAGTTAATTTGTGTTCATAAATTTTTGGTGAAATATAGAATTATTACTGGACTTAATCCAGTTTGGTGCTCTCATCCTTCTAATGCTTTATAGATACAGTAGTTAAATTCCAGGCCATGAAAAACCAACTTCAGCACTTTCTGATTGTGCTGATGCTTGCCCACCCCTTCCGGTCCCCTCACATAGTGATGGGCGAATAGGAATGTGTTTGGGGTGGGGTCTAGTGGCAAGCTCTGACATTACCAGGAACTGTCAGAATGACAGCCTTCAGCCTGGAAGTACAGATAGCATTTGCTAGAAAGAGATTAACAGTAACTGCCTTCCTAGTTCTCTCAGTCCTGTTCCTTTTTTTTTTTTTTCAAGTAGTACTGGGGGGGGGGGGGGGGGGGGGGGGGGGGTCAATGGTGAAGGATCTGGGGGTTCTGGTAGATCACAAGCTTAATAATGACGTGCAATTCCAAGCTGCGGTTTCTAAAGTGAGCAAAATCCTCTCTTGTATTAGGAGAGGTATAGACTCCAGAGAGAGAGAGATCATTTCCCCCGGTACAAATCATTAGTAATACCTCATCTGGAATATGCAGTTCAGTTTTGGGCACCAATTCACAAAAAGAACATTGGGGAACTGGAGAAAGTACAGAGAAGGGCAACCAAACTGATAAGAGGCATGGAGGAGCTCAGCTATGAGGAAAGATTAGAGGAACTGAATTTATTCTCTCTTGAGAAGGGGAGATTGAGGGATATGATCTCCATGTATACTACATAAGGGGGGGGATATGATCTCCATGTATAATACATAAGGGGGGGTATGATCACCATGTATAATACATAAGGGGGGATATGATCTCCATGTATAATACATAAGGGGGGATATGATCTCCATGTATAATGCATAAGGGGGGGATATGATGATCACCATGTATAATACATAAGGGGGGATATGATCACCATGTATAATACATAAGGGGGGATATGATCTCCATGTATAATGCATAAGGGGGGATATGATCTCCATGTATAATACATAAGGGGGGATATGATCTCCATGTATAATACATAAGGGGGGATATGATCTCCATGTATAATGCATAAGGGGGGGATATGATCACCATGTATAATACATAAGGGGGGGATATGATCTCCATCATGTATAATACATAAGGGGGGATATGATCTCCATGTATAATACATAAGGGGGGATATGATCTCCATGTATAATGCATAAGGGGGGGATATGATCACCATGTATAATACATAAGGGGGGATATGATCTCCATGTATAATACATAAGGGGGATATGATCTCCATGTATAATACATAAGGGGGATATGATCTCCATGTATAATACATAAGGGGGGATATGATCTCCATGTGTAATACATAAGGGGGTTATGATCACCATGTGTAATACATGAGGGGGGGATATGATCTACGTGTATAATACATGAGGGGGGGATATGATCTCCGTGTATAATACATGAGGGGGGGATATGATCTCCGTGTATAATACATGAGGGGGGGGATATGATCTCCGTGTAGAATACATGAGGGGGGGATATGATCTCCGTGTAGAATACATGAGGGGGGATATGATCTCCGTGTATAATACATAAGGGGGGATATGATCTCCGTGTATAATACATAAGGGGGATATGATCTCCATGTATAATACATAAGGGGGGATATGATCTCCATGTATAATACATAAGGGGGGATATGATCTCCATGTATAATACATAAGGGGGGATATGATCTCCATGTATAATACATAAGGGGGGATATGATCTCCATGTATAATACATAAGGGGGGGATATGATCAACATGTATAATACATAAGGGGGGGATATGATCACCATGTATAATATATAAGGGGGGATATGATCTCCATGTATAATACATAAGAGGGGATATGGTCTCCATGTATAATACATAAGGGGGGATATGATCTCCATGTATAATACATAAGAGGGGATATGGTCTCCATGTATAATACATAAGAGGGGATATGGTCTCCATGTATAAATACATCAGTGGTTCATATAGTGAACTCGGTGTAGAGTTATTCACCCTGAGGTCATCACAGAGGACAAGGGGGCACTCTTTACGTCTGGAGGAAAAGAAATTCAATCTCCAAACACGGAAAGGTTTCTTCACAGTAAGAGCTATGAAAAAATGTGAAATAGATTCCCTCAAGAGTTGGTTCTGGCCAGCTCAGTAGATTATATACAGTGCATCCAGAAAGTATTCCCAGTGCTCAACTTTTGCCACATTTTGTTATGTTACAGCCTTATTCCAAAATGGATTCAATTCATTTTTTTCCTCAACATTCTACAAACAATACCCCATAATGACAACGTGAAAGAAGTTTGTTTTGAAATCTTTGTAATTTATTAAAAATAACCCCCCCCCCCCCCCCCCCATGTACATAAGTATTCACGGCCTTTGCTCAATACTTTGTTGAAGCACCTTTAGATCATAGCCACTCCTTTATGTGGGCTGTATGTTTAGGGTCATTGTCCTGTTGAAAAATGAACCCTCGCCCCAGTGTAAGGTCCAGAATAGGAACAGGTTTTTATCAAGGATGTCTCTGTACATTGCTGCATTCATCTTTCCTTCGATCCCGACTAGTCTCCCAGTTCTGTCGCTGAAAAACATCTCCACAGCATCATGCTGCCCCCACCATGCTTCACTGTAGGGATGGTATTGGCCAGGTGGTGAGTGGTGCCTGGTTTCCTCCAGGCATGATGATTGGCATTCAAGCCAAAGAGTTCAATCTTTGTTTCATCAGACCAGAGAGTTTTGTTTCTCATGGTCTGAGAGTCCCTCAGGTGCCTTTTGGCAAACTCCAGGTGGGCTGCCATTTCCCGTCTGGCCAGTCTACCATACAGGCCTGATTGTTGGAGTGCTGCAGAGATGGTTGTTCTTCTGGAAGGTTCTCCTCTCTTCACAGAGACACGCTGGAGCTCTTTCAGAGTGACCATCCGGTTCTTGGTTACCTCCCTGGCTAAGGCCCTTCTCCCTTGATCACTCATCATTTTGGCCAGGCGGCCCACTCCAGGAAGATTCCTGGTGGTTCCAAACTTCTTCCGTTTACGGATGATGGAGGCCACTGTGCTCATTGGGACCTTCAATGCTGCAAAGATTTTTTTGTACTCTTCCCCAGATCTGTTCTTTACTCTTCTTTTTACAATCCTATCTTGGAGGTCTACGGACAATTCCTTGGACCTCCTGGCTTGGTTTGTGCTCTGACATGCACTGTTAACTGTGGGACCTTCTATAAACAGTTCATGCCTTTCCTAATCATGTCCAATCAACTGAATGTCCCACAGGTAGACTCCAATCAAGTTGTGGAAACATCTCAAGGATGATCAATGGGAACAGGATGCACCAGAGATCAATTTTGAGTGTTATGGCAAAGGCTATGAATACTTATGTACATGTGTGTTGTTTTGTTTTTTTTTTTTTTTTTTGGTTTTTAATTTTAATAAATTGCAAAATTTTCAAAACAAACTTCTTTCACATTGCCATTATGGGGTATTGTTTGTAGAATGTGGAGGAAAAAAAAATAATTGAATCCATTTTGGAATAAGGCTGTAACATAACAAAATGTCAAAAGTTAAGCGCTGGGAATACTTTCTGGATGCACTGTAACTGGATATAACATTTATAGGTAAAGTTGATCCAGGGAATATCCGATTGCCTCTCAGGGGATCAGGAAGGAGTTTTTTTTTTTCCCCTGCAGGAGCAAATTGGATCATGGTTTATTGGGTGTTTTTGCCTTCCTCTGGATCAACTGTAGGTATTGGATTGTGTATATATGATTGTATAAACTATTTTTTTTTTCATTTTATTAATTGAACTAGATGGACTTGTGTCTTTTTTCAGCCAGACTATGTAACTATGTACTGGCTGGCATTTCATAATGTGCACCATTTTTCACACTCTAGTGTCTGTGGAGTGGCTTCATAGACATAAGGTAGGTGGGTTGGATACCTACTACTTATACGAACAAGAACAGTCCAGCCAGGTGTAGAGGATGAATGCTAACCTTCCGCCTGGCAGTACTCGGGTCGTTGGTTCGAATCTCAGCCACGGGACCACCTGCCTGGAGTTTGCATGCTCTCCCTGTGTCTCTGTGGGTTTCCTTCGGGTACTCCGGTTTCCTCCCAGACTCCAAAGACATGCTGGTAGGTTAATTGGGTCCTGTCTAAATTGTCCCTAGTATGTGTATGTATGAATGTGAGTTAGGGACCTTAGATTGTACACCCCTTGAGGGTTAGGGACTGATGTGAATGTACAATATATATATAAAGCGCTGTGTAAACTGACGGCGCTATATAAGTACCTGAAATAATAATAAATAATGCTAGGAATGAATTGTGAGGCACCCAGTGGAAGACACTGCCACCTGCTTAGATAGAATGCAGATGTTCATGTTTTAATGGTGTGCACTTATAGCGTACATTTTCAAAATACTATGTAACAGGACAGAGAGTGATTTTGATAGGAGGTAAATCCAGTTTTATTCATTTTAATAGTGAATTTGCATGGCTGATAATTGGTCCACTTCTTCTTCTTCAGCCTGTCCCCGTTTTTATCCCTTTCCCAGGCAGGACAGGGACGGATGTTTAAATTGTAAATCATAAGCACTGATTGTATTTTTTTTTCTTAATTTGAATGATACTGAATTCTGTTCACTTTTAGGATGACTGGAATGGCGGGACTGTTTCATCTCTCTGGATGGATCCGGGTAAGAACTACTACTATACATCTGTAACAATACAGAAAACACATTACACAGCTTTCTGGTTGAACTAAATCCTAAACCAACTATGGGCAGCACAGTGGCTAAATGGTTAGCACTTCGGCCTGGCAGTACTAGGGTCCTTGGTTCGAATCCCAACCACAGCACCACCTGCCTTGAGTTTGCATGTTCTCCCTGCATGGGGTTCCTCCTACACTCCAAAAGACATGCTGGGAGGTTAATTGGATCCTGTGGTAAATACGCCCCTGGGTTTAGGATTTACAGCTCTTAAGATTAGCCATTCCCCCTGGCCATGAAACAGCTTTTTGTTGAAAGATCAGCGAGCGCTCAAGATTCTGATGAGGTCAGCAGCATATGAACTAGAAAGAACCTGCCTGGAGTTTGCATGTTCTCACTGTGCCTGCGTGGGTTTCCTCCGGGTACACTGGTTTCCTCCCACACTCCAAAGACATGCTGGCAGGTTCATTGGGTCCTGTCTAAATTGGCCCTAGTATGTGTATGTATGAATGTAAGTTAAGGACCTTAGATTGTACACCCCTTGAGGGTTAGGGACTGATGTGAATGTACAATATATATGTAAAGTGCTGCATAAATTGGCGGCACTATATAAGTACCTGCAATAAAATAGTAGTTATTAAATTAATCATTGGTGTCAGTGAGAATAGTGCCCCATTATTGGCATCAGTGGGAGGAACAGTGCTCTGTTTTTGGTGGGAGGAATAGTGCTTCATATCAGTGCCATGTTATTGTACAATATATATGTAATGAGCAGCACAGCGGCTAAATGGTTAGCACTTCCGCCTGGCAGTACTCGGGGCTATTGGTTCAAATCCCAAACACGGCACCACCTGCCTGGAGTTTGCATGTTCTCCCTGTGGCCTGCGTGGGTTTCCTCCGGGTACTCCGGTTTCCTCCCACATTCCAAAGACATGCTGGTAGGTTAATTGGCTCCTGTCTAAATTGTCCCTAGTATGTGTATGTATGAATGTGAGTTAGGGACCTTAGATTGTACACCCCTTGAGGGTTAGGGACTGATGTGAATGTACAATATATATGTAATGCGCTGCGTAAATTTACAGAGATATATAAGAACCTGTAATATTTAAATAATAAATTGCTGCGTAAATTGATGGCGCTATATAAGTTCCTGAAATAAATAAAAGTAATAAAACTCATAGAGATCATTCAGATGGACATAATACAAATACATCCACATAATTTGTAGGATCTTGCTGCAAGAAAGATCCTGTGTATCTGCTCTATGCATTTAACGTTTGTGCAACATTCGCATGTGTCCGCTGTACGGGGGCTGTATTGGAGTCCGCCACTGCTAGTGCCGACATGTTAATAGTGCGTGAACAGCAGCGCCTGTGCTGTTGATTACACGTTGGTCGGTCTGAATGCGTCATTGATGCGCCGACAGTCCACGTGCTTTGGAATGACCTCTGACAATCATTCATGAAGCGCAAAACAAACACTCTTGTCAGCACTATTGGTATGAAAGGCCCTTAGGGGTGCAAATCCACAAGCGAGCTGCAGAAAGGTTCCTCCCCACTCTTGTTCATGCAAATCTGATATTGCCACTGAACTTCTTCACACAGCACACTAGATCAGCTGTCCACTTGAGTTCTGGGAAACCAATACTGAAACAAAGTGAAAGGAGTAAGGCACACTGGCCTCGTGCAATACGATAAAAACTCTTTATTAAATAAAACCAGTGCCAATGAACTCACAAATGTTACGTTACATAGTGCATATATCAAAACCAGCCCCATCACAGGAAACGTGTTGATCTGCAGGGGTACAACTGACGCGTTTCAAGGGCAAAGTCTTTCTCTGAGCCCTGAAGAAGAAGGCTTTGCCCTTGAAACGCATCAGCTGTGCTCCTATGGATGAACACGTTTCCTGTGATGAGACTGGTTTTCATATATGCACTTTGTAGCATGCCGTTGTGAGTACATTGGTATCAGTTTTATTTAACCATTTGCCGCCCGCCCTTTGGCCGAACGGTTGGCGGCAAATGTCATCAGCGTTCCGGGTGGACGCCATATGGTGTCCTCCCGCACATGCGCAGATTGCGCTCCTGCAGAGCAGCGCGATCTGTCACCGGCCATGTACCTAGGACACGGCATATGACAGATCTGAGTATCGGCCCTGTTGCCGGTACCATGTGACCTGCTGTGACCAATCACAGCATGTCACATGACAGTTGCATACAATGGATGGCTTCATTCATGCCATCCATTGTATACTAGTGTCTAGCTGTGAATGGTCACAGCTAATCACATGCACATGTCATGTGATTAGCTGTGGCCAAATCACAGCTAAGCACAAAAAAAAAACCCTGAATGAATCGATGTCATGCAGGTAAATGCTTGCTTATAGCAAAGTAATTCTTTGCTATAAGCAAATTTGTGTAAAAAAAAAAAAATACTGATCGCTTCCGCAAAGTAGTGCAATGTTTTATGGTAACATTGTACTACTTTGGTCATAGTGAAATATGAAAAAAAAAATAATAAAAAAAATTAAATATGTGTGTGTGTGTGTGTGTGTGTGTGTGTGTGTGTGTATATATATATATATATTTGTGTTTTTTTTTCCATACTGTCACCAGTCAGTGTCCCTGATCACCGCCATGCCAGCTATATGATGACGCTGTACTGCACTGTAATATGTAAAAAAAAAATAGTGAAACTAATTTTTTTTAATTTTTTAATTTTCCGAAAAATTATGACAAAAAAAATACAACTTCAAAAAACTTGCCATTCCTCTTATGAAGTACGTCGTACTGTCTACTTTGCAAAAAGGGGTCATTTGGGGGATATCTGTACCGTCCTGTCCTGACATTTGGGGGATATCTGTACCGTCCTGTCCTGACATTTGGGTGATATCTGTACCGTCCTGACATTTGGGGGATATCTGTACTGTCCTGACATTTGGGGGATATCTGTACTGTTCTGACATTCTTGGACCTCAAGATATTAGATTGGCTGTCAGTACTTCAGGATTGATCAATATTCAGATCTATACCATAGTTTGTGAACTCTATAACTTTCCTACAAACTAAAAAATACATCCTAATTTGGGTTATTTTCACCAAAGACATGTAGCAGAATACATCTCGGCCTAAATTTATGAAGAACAATTATTTATTTGGAAACTTTTATAACAGAAACAAAAACTTTTTTTTTTTTTTTTTTTTTCAAAATTTTTGGTCTTTTTTTGTTAATTTAGCAAAAAATAAAAACCCTGGCGGTGATTAAATACCACCAAAAGAAAGCTCTAGTTGTGAGAAGAAAATGATAAAATGTTTAGTTTGGGTACAGTGTTGTATGACCGCGCAATTGTCATTCAGAGTGTGAGAGAGCTGAAACCTGAAAAATGGCCTGGGCAGGAAGGGGGTAAAATTGCCCGGTATGGAAATGGTTAATAAAGAGTTTTTATGGTATTGCACAAGGCCAGTGTGCTCACTGTTTTTGCTTTTTTCAGTAATCATTCATGAATGCCTGCCCTATGTCATTCTGTGCATGCACTTCAGCCTCATCAATTATTCATTCAGACCAAAATTTTGTAATCGGTGGTGCCTGCACATTGTTTATATTAGCCAGGAGCAGCAACTCGATGGGGTCCCTGTATGCTGCTCGATGTATTCATGTAAATGTTAGTAGAAAACCTTTACATGCATATAACATATGGCTGAAGTAATGGCCCGGGAAATTCAAAAAATGTCAAAAAGTGACATTCACTAAATACACTAAAATCACATAGTATAACATTCCTGTATCAAAACCATTTCACATACATTTTGTCCCGAGTGCTTTGTCCGGCGCCCTGCCTGCATTTTTACTGTTCTTTCTGCCTGGAAACTGAGAAATGTCCATGGCATCCAAAAAGCGTCCCTTTAGGTCAGAAGCGGTTTTAGACCGGCTAGAGAACAGCGATAGTAAATCAGAACCACTTGCAGAATTGAGTGATAATGATTCGTGGGGGAAATTCCTCATCAGACACTGAAAACGATTCTGCGACTTTGCTCAGTGATGTGCGAACTTGGCGCTCTATTTCACATTTCAGTGTTTTTGGTTTGATTATATTATTGAATTAAATTTTTATTATATTATAATTTTTTTATGATTATTTATTATATTATTTATGATTTCGTGTTTCAAATTTTATCATTCCCGGGATGTTTACTAGACTTTTGTTCGGACAGATTTAAGAGAGTTATTCCTAAAAAGTACAGTCCTACAAAAACAACAAATTTCCACTGAAAACAATGTACTGCTTTGAGCACAGAAATACTGACATAATCAGACCGCTGAGGAGGCTACAGTGGAGTTCCACTCACACTGTAAAAAAATAAAACTGTAGCTGCTGACTTTCGAAAAAACAGCCACTCACCTGTCCCAGGATCCCTCGGTGTCCTCCCCCGCAGCCCATTTCGCCAGCCTTCTGGTGTTCCAGGCGCCGGCATCCTTAGTGTTGGCTCCCTGTTGTGACAGCTTGTGACTTCACAGCCGGGTGCCCACTGCACATGCGCAAGAAGCGTTGCACTTCCTGAATGACCCCGTAGTCTTCTGAGACCTGTCACGTGTCCCAGAAGACTACGAGGAGGGAGGGGTGGAGGACAACTTCCGATCGCCTAGGCAATCGCAGTGGGAGCGGGTACCTGTCAATTTCGGGTACCCGCTCCCCAAAGGTGCCAATCCTTAATGGGGAGCGGGTCTTTAAAGCGGAACTTCCCCTTTTGAGTGGAGCTCCGCTTTTAGTTTGTGATTTTTACAGCAGCATCTAGATGTCAGCATTTCTCCTTCACCCTGGTGTGTGTTACACTGTTCAACAGGTAAAAAGTTTTGGGCATAAAATTAGCTAATCTTACATAATTTTGGGGTGCTGAAAACGAAAATGACCCTAAAAAAATGTTGATTGGCACTAGTTTCCATGATATATTCACCCATCTAATGACGTAAGCCATTCAAAATTATGAT